CACACACACACACAGGGAGCTGGTAGCTGTTGGCCAAATTACATCATGTTACTGATGTTTTTTTGTTGTGTTGCTTCCTGTTGCAGGTCTCGGCTCGCTGATTTCCACATGAACTGCCAGGTGACACCTCACACCGTCACCACCTGCCCTCACGATAACTACCATGGCTGCCTCATGTCCTATGTCGGCCTCATTGGTAAGTCTAGCCTCCACTTGGCTAACCTTCTGATGTGTACATCATCAGTGGTGATGGCCCCAACCCTAACCCCAAATACTGGAAACAGAATTAAAGTGTTTGATGGAGTCGGTTAGACTGTCATTACAATACTGCTTGCCTTTTATCACAGTTTGGGTCACACATGCTGAAAACTGACATCAGAATGACTTCATTAGTAATTAATTCTGCTTTCTAAATCTTCCTGTTTACAGTAGAATCTGACCTAACCTGTGACAGGTGTTTGGTACAGAGATCCTCCAGCACAGAGTTAGTTGTTTAGATGTAATGAGTTCAGGTAACTGTGCCTTCCTCTAACTTTACCACATGACCTGTTTAGTGAAGCCAGCCTGTTCGTTTCTGGCTGTGATCAGCAGCCACTTGACCGTTATTTAAATCTTTCAGTTGAGAATTGAGAGCAGACAAAAATTCTACTGGTGACTCATTTCTTCTCCGGAAATCATCCAATGATTCAATTCCCAATTTGCAAAAATCCTCTTTACCTTTCTTCCCAGCTAATCTCCACCCTAATTCTTATTCCTCTCCTCCTCCCCCCTCCCTGCCTCAGGCTCGGATGTAACGCCAAACTACAGCGACAGCAGCCCGTCCAACATCACTATGAGCCTGTGGTGCACCTGCAGGGGCACCGGCCACCAGGAGCACGAGTGTGAAGCTTTCCACCGCGATTTCACACACAACACCTGCCTCAGTGAGTGCTGCATGCCTGATCAGGAGGGTCAGAGCTGTAAAGTGCTGATCCTCTCCAGTTAGTCTCGAGAATATTTACCTAAATAATCCAGAAAACAAAATTATTAATCAAACAGGTTATAAGCCAATCAGCCGTCACACTGCTGTAACACCATGTGAACATACCTGCAGGTAGTTTTATGCCGTGTTTTATGTTTGTTGTCTGATGGATTCAGTCATTTATGGATCTGAGTTTGTGAAGCTGCTGCTCACAGAGATGTATCTTCCCCCTTTACACTGAAAGGGTGGAAATTCATGGAAATTCAAAATTTCAGCTCTATCATATTACAGAATTTTTCATTTCTATGTTGCTTATCAATGATGTTGCCTGTTTAAGTTATGCATTTTCCAAAAACTGTTAGCTCTGATCTACGACCACAGGTGGGAGGGATGAAGGGTAAACAAACAATTTCCCAAATTCTGGAAACACTGAAGTTTGAACGTCTCCATGTGTTACTGATTGATTAGATGCAATAACGTTATTACCTGTCACATGACCTGATCTTTGCTGATCCATGTGGGGCAAGGGGGAGGGGTTGATGTACTTAATATTCAATTTGATTATCAATGCGTTTTTCTGTCAGTGGTATAATTGATTATTCCATAAAAGGAAAGTGATTTGGGTGCTATAATTCAGTTTACAAATATGAAGCATAGAAAAGCAGAAAATATTCACACTGAATAATTTCTTATTTTTAAATGTCTCAATTATTGATTGTAGAAATTATTACAGAGAAAATGAGATAATATTCACATTTAAAAGTAGGCGTTCATTTTGGGAAACCATTAAATGGTTCATAAATAATGAGACTTTCAGACTTTAATGGAGAAATGTTATCAAACTCTAACCCAAGCTGTGCAGAGTTGTGGAACTGCAGCATGAGGTTAAATCGATGAATAAAATCATGATACATGTTACTGTTAAATGTGTCGTCTCAGCACATGAAATGCTGAAAACGTTGGCATGGTTAAAGAAACAGAGGTGTGAGTGAGGTGGATAATTGAGGGGAAAGGTTAGTGGAGGAGGAAAAACAGAGAAGTACGAGCCGATGTGTTGAAGATCCCCAGATACCGTCTTTAAATAACACTGACCCAGCTCCAACATCACCTCTGTGCCTCCTCCATCACACATCCACTCCTCCTCCTGTGGATGCAAACATACATATCCATGTGCTGCAAGCAGCAAAGAACACAACCATGCTGTTACATTGAACTTCATGCATTCATATATATGTGAAGGTCAGTCAGTTAATGAAGGATGAAGCCTGTTTATGATGTACATGTCTCCAAATGTTCAAACCCAAAAGTACTCAGATTACTGGACTGTGCTCTGATCAGGCTCAACACTGTGAGCTCTGTCAGGTGACGGGAATAACACTGATTATCTCTTCATCACGGCTCCTGTTAGTGTGTGGGAGTTATCACGGATCAGGTGAACTGTGGACCCACAGTCCAATCCATGGAGGTCCACCTCCCAGGTTACGGCCTGAAAGCACCTGCATGTTGGTGCAGATACCTGAGCACAGCGTCAGGGCTCGAGTACTCTCTCCATGATCTCCCGGTCTGTCAGAAGACGCGGTGGCACGTTAATGTGTAACAGGGGTGGAGAATGCTCTCTGCAGTCGAGGTGTAGTCAGACCTGGACAAACACGTTTTGTGTTCAGATGCAAGAATAACCTTCACTTATATGAACGTGATTTGCTGCAGTGAGGCAGCAGCAGCCTCTGCCTTGTGTTGAGTGGGTTGCATTGCAGCGCTGTGTTCATTAATCATTCTCCAAACAGACCACCATGGATCCTACCAACAGACTCCACAGACCAGTGTGCTGGGCTTAAAAAGTTGTTGGTGTATCTCTGTGTGGTCTCAGTATGAATTCCCATAAACACACACAGTTCAGCCAGACTGTGGTGTAAATACTAACTTGTATATTCTTTATTCTGTATTCAGCCCTCGTGAAAATGGTCGATAGTCATTCGTCTTCTGTTTGTTAGGTTATATTTTCATCTCCAAGGCCAGTGGATCCCCGGAATGTAAAAAGGACCAGAAAAAACACTCAAAGCCATAAAAGAAGGTTAAAATTTGATTTTCAGTGTGCATTATTCATATGTATAAACCAGGATTCCTGCAATCCATAAAAGGTCTTGAATTAATTAAACTAAAAATGACATAACTGGGGTTAAATCAATCTTTTAAAAGTCTTTGCAGTGAAAGAAAACACCTGTGTCTCCAACCCTGTGTCTGTTTGTTTCTTCAGTTTTATAGTTGTCATGCTGGCCTTGAATTTCATCATGAGTTGCATTTTTAACTCTTAAAAGTCTTAAATCTAATCTGAATCTGGTCTGAAGCCATAGCGTCACTTATTACTGTGAAGGTTTTTCAGGTTCAGTACTCAAAAATCCCATTATTCAGTGCAATAAACACCAAAGTCTTTGGACTCCTTCAAATGAAGAAACAGCAGATAATAACCAAGTGATCCCAAATTATCCTCGGGGGATCCTGGGTGGACACAGAGTTAACAGTTCACCCAAAACTGTAAATGTTAGATCACCAAAATTCCCCATCCTCCATCAACCATGGGTATCTGCACTAAATGCCATGGCTGTCCTTCTAATTATTGGTGAGATACTGAGGTATTTGGAGGAGGCTGTGAATGAAGGAGAGGTGGAGTGAGTCAGCATCTAACTGGTAGACAGATGACTTTATTCAAGGCTGCTCTGCCTCAGTATCCCCCAGTATGCCCCAGTATCTGGCTAAACTGTACCCATACCAAATGCCAGGTTAACAATGACCACCTCGGCCTCTGTTAGCTAACAGGTTGCTGGTGGAAACTGTGCTCCTGTTGGCCATAGAGCAGAGGGGGAAGGCATATTAGAAGGCAGTGAGAGAGAAGGAAAGGCGGGAGTGAGAAGGTGAGAGTAGGGATGCTAAATGTTGGACTACGATGGTAAACGGAGAGAAAAGACCTCAGAGAACGCCCATGGATGTTGTAAAGGAGGACATTCGGAAGGTTGGTGTAACAGAGGAGGATGGTGGGATAGATGGAGGCAGATGATCCATTGTGGCGACCCTTAAATGAATCAGCTGGAAGAAGAAGAACTTCTGCAGACCTTCACAAAGCAGCAGCAACATAATCAACATAATCATAATCTTCTCTTCTCCCAGTCACCACACCTGTGTCTATGTTTGCCTGACGTCTGCAGACAGCAGAGGTGATAAGCTAAGAGTGTAGCATGACCATAAATGATTGCAGAATCTGCAAAGACTCTCACAATATGCTCAGATGAAACAATGACACAAAGATGGCACACACTGGAAACACCACACATCCTCCAGTGTGACACAAATCCAATGACTTTCTGTCGATAAAAAGTTATTTTAGCTATTTAGATTTGTAGTTCTTCGAACTGAGCATTAGATTAGATAGCAGGAAGAAACAGGTTCATTGGTTATGAATATGACTTCAGGTATGTATTATATATAATATAGCAAAGGTTTCCAGACACCCAGGTGACCAGCTGAATTAGGTCACTTCAGGCTAGACTTGGGCACACTTGGGCTGGATTCTGACAGGTGTGCCTCAGTAATAATTGTCTAAGGAGCTTGGAAAGAAAAGCGTCTGGACTTCTTTAAGTTGCTTGAAGACGTTTCACCTCTCATCCGAGAAGCTTCTTCAGTTCTAGGGTCAAATGGTGGAGAGTCCCAGATTTAAACCCTGTGGGAGTTTCCCCCCAAAGAGGGACAAAAGGACCCCCTGATGATCCTCTACCTAATCACATAAGCCAAGGTGTGAAAACGGGTGTGGATCACAGTTGGTGTCGTAAACCACCACCTCTGTTCAAAGATGGTCACTCACAGTGGACATAAATGGCTTCTTTCACTCCTCTTTCAAACCATCTGTCCTCTCTGTCCAACATTGGCATCCTCGAAAGAGTGACCTTTGTCCTTTAGATGCAGATGGACTGCTGAGTCTTGTCCTGTGGAGGTGGCTCTTCTATGTTGTGCCATGCGCTTGTGAAGTGGCTGTTTGGTCTCTCCAATGGTCTGGGCATTCCTCGCTACACTGTACAGCGTACACCACATTGTTAAGTTTGTGTTTACGAGTTTTGTCTTTGGGATGAACCAGTTTTTGTCTGAGTGTGTTGCTGGATCTGAAATGCACTGGGATGTCGTGCTTGGAGAAAACTGTCCTGAGTTTCTCTGATACACCGGCTACATAGAGGAGGACAATGTTGTTGCGTCTGTCTTTCTCATCTGCCCTGTCTGGTCTTCTTTTCTGTGCATCTTTGCTGACTTTACAAACGCGCATTTAGGATAACCGCATGTTTTAAGTGCTTCCTTTACATGCGTGTGTTCCTTCTTTTTCCCTTCAGGCTTAGAGGAAACATGTTCTGTCCGGTGCTGTAGGGTCCTAATTACTCCAAGTTTGTGTTCCAGAGGGTGATGGGAGTCAAAGAGGAGGTACTGGTCCGTGTGTGTGGGCTTCCGGTAAACTTCAATGTTGAGGTTGCCATTCTCTTCAATGTGCACAGCGCAGTCCAGGAAAGGCAAACAGATATCCTTTGTGTCTTCCCTGGTGAACTTGATGTTTTTATTCACGGCATTAATGTGCGCAGTGAAGGATTCCACTTCTTGTGT